CACGTGGTTCACTTGTGGTAAGAATTGTCAGACTTGCCTACCTGCTGGTTGAATAGAGTGCACTCTCTCAGGCTTCTGCTTTGCTATCTGTCACCGTCGTGTACACTTACTATTCAACCTCTGTACATAGTGTGCAAATGTGTACATGCTTGTATATATCTATAAAATTATATCTGGTGAAGAAAATACATGTTATATAATACTGCTGAGTGTGTTTGCTCCACTTTGATACCCAGGACGACCGTCAAGTGAGACAGGGAGACAGACATAGACACGAGAGGTCAGGAGTGGCTGCAGGAGACAAGAGAAGCTTACATGTACAGAACAGCTACTTGCTAGAGAATCTTCCTTGCTTTCACGATTAGATACAAGTTTAGTTTCTTTGCTAGTTAGAATCTAGGCTATCTAGCAGTGGCATTTCCTAGATACTCCGTTAGTAAACATACATACTGCAAAAACCATGGCTCGGCTGGAATCGCACTCAGCTCACACAATAAGTGTTCGTGCTTCGATCCCCGGCATTGGTTGGAAACATTAAGCATATCTGTTTCCTTACACTTGTTGTACTTGTTTGCTTCTGTTTACTTCCCTTCCTTATTTAAATTTGCAACTTCCACTTTTATCCCCCAACATCACAAAGATCCGACTGACCCGAGGAACTACAGTCTTATCAGTCTGCTTGAAACCCTCTGGAAGACACTTAGAAGAGTGTTAAACACAAGACTAAGTGCTTCAAACAAACCATCTGACGTCTGGCGGAAAGTTTGGCTTCCGTCAACAGTGTTCGACACTCAGCCTTCAACATCATTCTCAACTACATTCATATCAATAAGACACAAGGATGTTTAAGAGTCTTGGCTGCAAAAGATGTGGGGAATTTTTCGACACTGGCACGAGGGCTTCATGTACATGCTATGTAAACTTTTTGACCTTCCTTTGAACATCAATGTTACTCTGCAGTTTCTATGATGGCCGTACAATGAGAATTAAGGTCAAAAACTGTCTCTCCGACTCCTTCACCCTCCATGTGGGAGTACCGTAAGGTTCTTTGCTCTCTCATGTCCTGCACACTGTACGTAACTGACATAACTGACCCTGAATACCCAAACACACTTCACTAGCACATGCAGACGACATCACCGCACACGACACCAGCAGATACTTATCATTCAGATCACAACGCAAGCTCGTCGGAATTAGTGCCTGGGAAATTCTGTGGCGTATTAAGACTAGCGCCAATAAATAAAATATAACCTATTTCTTTCCAAATGGACGTTCATCACTATCTGCTGAACGCAGAACAACCACTACAAGAACACCCATTGTGCGAACAAAAAATGCTGCTGTTCTTGGAGATAACCTCAAATCCTGTCACAGACTACACACATGAGTGCCAAGAGAGCTGTAGCTAGTGAAACACTTGGGTGGCTATATAGTCTCAAAAGCTTACATCCACAGACCAGATTATACGTATACAAGACTTTCACACATCTCTTGCTACTTCACTAGCTGCTAAGAAATTACAGCGAATCTAGAACTGTGCAGTGCACTGGGTGCTGGACGTGGTGAGGAGTGACTCTGCCACAAGCGAGTCTCTGTACTCCAGGACTGACACCCCGGAGCTGAACGTCTTCTGGAAAGAGCTCAGTAACCGGTTAACAGACCGACTAGAAACCCTATAAGACTCATGTACAACATAACCTGACGAAGTGAAACGATGGCCACAAAACCCTCCATAACTCTGCTCCTCCTCTTCTATATACCTAATCTCCAACTAATCTTTCTGTCCTGCCCTCTGCAGGAGTGGACCTTGAAAGACGCCCTTTTTTTTCCAGCCATCAATTCCGTATTCCTCTCCGTCTATCCAAAACAGCGTTCGAGAGACAGCAAACAGTAACCTCGCGTATGACGCACAAGCGCTGACCATTGCCGGTCCTTTGCCACTTGAATCCGTAACACGCCTTGCTGTAGCAACCTCACAGTCACCACAACAAACAGCTTTTCTCTGTCTACATTGGCCAAGCAACGCCATGAGGCTGGGTCGTGCTCCAGCTCTTTCCCTCAGTCTCCCATCTATTCCTCTCCTTCATTTCACTTCCACTAAGCAAATCTCCGTTTCACTCTTGTGGGTTCTACTAAGTGACCAGTTTTACCTATTCTGCACGACATATACGGTGTAGAATGATATTCTTCTTCTGCATTACTGCCTCATTATTGCTGTTAACAGCGTCAACGTAACTCTTGGGCTAATTTATTTCTCAGTTATCATTACTGTGAGGAAAAGTCCGTTAGATAATAGTGGACCCATGAACGAATGTTGATTGTAGCATACATGGGTGAATGGTGGTTGTACCATACATGGGTGAATGTTGGTTGTAGCATACATGGGTGAATGTTGGTTGTAGCATACATGGGTGAATGTTGGTTGTAGCATACATGGGTGAATGTTGGTTGTAGCATACATGGGTGAATGTTGGTTGTAGCATACATGGGTGAATGTTGGTTGTAGCATACATGGGTGAATGGTGGTTGTAGCATACATGGGTGAATGTTGGTTGTAGCATACATGGGTGAATGGTGGTTGTAGCATACATGGGTGAATGTTGGTTGTAGCATACATGGGTGAATGTTGGTTGTAGCATACATGGGTGAATGGTGGTTGTAGCATACATGGGTGAATGGTAGTTGTAGCATACATGGGCGAATGTTGGTTGTAGCATACATGGGTGAATGGTGGTTGTAGCATACATGGGTGAATGGTGGTTGTAGCATACATGGGTGAATGTTGGTTGTAGCATACATGGGTGAATGTTGGTTGTAGCATACATGGGTGAATGTTGGTTGTAGCATACATGGGTGAATGGTGGTTGTAGCATACATGGGTGAATGTTGGTTGTAGCATACATGGGTGAATGGTGGTTGTAGCATACATGGGTGAATGGTGGTTGTAGCATACATGGGTGAATGGTAGTTGTAGCATACATGGGTGAATGGTAGTTGTAGCATACATGGGTGAATGGTAGTTGTAGCATACATGGGTGAATGGTGGTTGTAGCATACATGGGTGAATGGTGGTTGTAGCATACATGGGTGAATGGTGGTTGTAGCATACATGGGTGAATGGTAGTTGTAGCATACATGGGTGAATGGTAGTTGTAGCATACATGGGTGAATGGTGGTTGTAGCATACATGGGTGAATGGTAGTTGTAGCATACATGGGTGAATGGTGGTTGTAGCATACATGGGTGAATGGTAGTTGTAGCATACATGGGTGAATAGTAGTTGTAGCATACATGGGTGAATGGTGGTTGTAGCATACATGGGTGAATGGTGGTTGTACCATACATGGGTGAATGGTGGTTGTAGCATACATGGGTGAATGGTGGTTGTAGCATACATGGGTGAATGGTGGTTGTACCATACATGGGTGAATGGTGGTTGTAGCATACATGGGTGAATGGTGGTTGTAGCATACATGGGTGAATGGTGGTTGTACCATACATGGGTGAATGGTGGTTGTACCATACATGGGTGAATGGTGGTTGTAGCATACATGGGTGAATGGTGGTTGTACCATACATGGGTGAATGGTGGTTGTAGCATTCAAGGGTGAATGGTAGTTGTAGCATACATGGGTGAATTGTGGTTGTAGCATACATGAACGAATGTTGGTTGTAGCATACATGGGTGAATGGTGGTTGTAGCATACATGGGTGAATGGTGGTTGTAGCATACATGGGTGAATGGTGGTTGTAGAATACATGGCTGAATGGTGGTTATAGCATTCATGGGCGAATGGTGGTTGTAGCATACATGGGTGAATGGTAGTTGTAGCATACATGGGTGAATGGTGGTTGTAGCATACATGGGTGAATGGTGGTTGTAGCATACATGGGTGAATGGTGATTGTAGCATACATGGGTGAATGGTGGTTGTAGCATACATGGGTGAATGGTGGTTGTAGCATACATGGGTGAATGGTGGTTGTAGTATACATGGGTAAATGGTGGTTGTAGCATACATGGGTGAATGGTGGTTGTAGCATACATGGGTGAATGGTGATTGTAGCATACATGGGTGAATGGTGGTTGTAGCATACATGGGTGAATGGTGGTTGTAGCATACATGGGTGAATGGTGGTTGTAGTATACATGGGTAAATGGTGGTTGTAGCATACATGGGTGAATGGTGGTTGTAGCATACATGGGTGAATGGTGGTTGTAGCATAAATGGGTGAATGGTGGTTGTAGCATACATGGGTGAATGGTGGTTGTAGCATACATGGGTGAATGGTGGTTGTAGCATACATGGGTGAATGGTGGTTGTAGCATAAATGGGTGAATGGTGATTGTAGCATACATGGGTGAATGGTGGTTGTAGCATACATGGGTGAATGGTGGTTGTAGCATACATGGGTGAATGGTGGTTGTAGTATACATGGGTAAATGGTGGTTGTAGCATACATGGGTGAATGGTGGTTGTAGCATACATGGGTGAATGGTGGTTGTAGTATACATGGGTAAATGGTTGTTGTAGCATAAATTAGTAAATGCTCGATGAGTCGGGCATCGTTACCACTGTACGTGCCGTCCTTGTGCTGCACTCGGTGGTACTTGACAAAGGATCCTTCTAGCCAGTTTTAAACCCACTTGACGTTCTTCTCCCAACAAGTCTATATGGAACCCCACTCGCGTTTCTTTTTATTTTCAAGGTGTTGGGTTTTTACGTTAACGTAACTTGACCTAATTTAACTTACGTCTTTTAACGCAATTATTCTTAGTCCTCTCCATTTGATTATTAATTCTTTTATTTGTATTTGATATAATTTATTTTTCTATTTATTTTATTTTCATAAGGTGGCAGGGCTTTCAAATACCTATTGATGGTGTGAAAGAGCTGTTATACCTTCATAATTTCGTTATTAATGTTCTCTCAGATAGACAGAAGTCAATGATTATTTCTTTGTATACCAGGTGTAAATTCTTGTTGTGTCGTGCAGGTTGTCCACCTCCCGGAGAGTGACCACTGGTACCTGGATATCTTGTCTGTCACCTTCAGAGACGCCGGAGTGTATGAGTGTCAAGTATCCAACAGTCCCAAGGTCTCCTTGCCCATCCGTCTTATTGTTCTAGGTGAGTGTATGTATGTGTACTCACCTAATTGTGGTTGCATGGGTCGAATCATTGCTCCTAGCTCAGCCTCCTCTTCAGTGGTCGCTACTAGGTTCACTCTCTCCCTGCCCCATGAGCTTTATCCTACCTCTTCTTAACTCTATGTATGGTACATCACTCTGCAGACTGTTCCACTTCCTAACAACTCTTTGACTGAAGAAATACTTCCTAACATCCCTGTGACTCCTCTGAGTTTTCAACTTCCAGTTGTGACCCCTTGTTGCTATGTCATGTCTCTGGAACATTCTGTCCCTATCCACCTTATCAGCTCCTCTCAGTATTTTATATGTCGTTATCATGTCATCCCTATCCCTCCTGCCTTCCAGTGTTGTCAGGTTGAGTTCCCTTAATTTCTTCTCGTAGGACAACCCCTCAAATCCGGGATTAGTCTTGTTGCAAATCTTTTCACTTTCTCTAATTTCATGACATGTTTGACCAGGTGCGAATCCCATACTGGAGTTACATTCTCCAATATGGGCTTGACGTACACGGTGTACAGTGTCGTGAATGACTCCTTACTTAGATGGCGAGACGCGATTCCCAGGTTTACCAGGCGCCCGTATGTTGCAGTAGTTATTTCGTTAATGTGAGCCTCTGGAAATGTGTTCGATATGATTCTCACCCAAATATCTTTTTCATCGAATGAGTTTTGCTGTATTCCGTCTTCTTTGTCCTTCCTCAAGCTTCATAACTTTGCACTTGTTGAGGCTAAACTCTAAGAATTCTTTGTAGGACCAAGCTCGCAGCCTGTCGAGACCCCCATGTAGGCTTACCTAATCCTCGTCGGCTGTATTCTCCTCATTAACTTCACATCATCTGCGAACAGGGACACTTTTGAATCTATTCCTTCCGTCAGGTCATTTACGTATACAAGAAACAGTACTGGACCTAGGACTGACGCTTGTGGAACCCCAATCGACATATGCACACACTCTGACACCTCGTCTCCTACCGAAACCCGTTGTATCCTTCCTGTCAGGTGCAGTAATTTCCCTCCTATTCCTCCCTGCTCCTCTAGTTTTTCAGCCTGTCTCTTGTGTGGTACTGTGTCAAAAGCCTTCTTACAGTCCAAGAAGATGCATCCCTCTCTCTCCTGTCTTACTGCTGTTACCTTATGATGCAGAATTTCCCTGCCCTGAAGCCATGCTGGTTGTCATGTATGAGTCCATTTAGGTTCCGCCTCACTCATCTCCATTACTTTACATACTATATATGTCAACGACACTGGTCTGTAATTTAAAGCAGCTTGTCTGTCTCCTTTCTTAGAAATTTGGACTACATTTGCTGGACCCAAGGGAAGATATTATCTGGGTCCACCGCCTTCGAGGTATCTTGTTTCTCCTAGCAATTTCTTCACTTCATCAGTCATGAGCAATGTGTCCAGCACTTGCTGGTGCACCCTGCCACCTCGGTTTGATGGCAGCCTCACTGTCTCCGCTTTGAATACCTCCCTGAATTGCGAGCTGAGCTCTTCACATACTTCCTGATCATTCCATGTAAGCTCCTCTCCTTCATTACTCTGATTACCTGGTCCTTGACTGTTGTTTTCCTCCTGTATAGCAATTTTGGGTCAGATTTGGCTATGGCATTCAAGTATTGGCACTGGACTTCTCTCCTCATCCATGTACATGTATATTCATTTCTGGTTCTTCAGTTCAGTTCCCTATTTTCCTGAGTCCTTTGCCTTCTATACTTTTTCCATACTCTAGCACACTTGGCTTTGGCCTCTCCACACCTGGTAAACAATGGACTCACTCTGATCTTCCCGTTGTTTCTGTTACCCCTTGGTACAAACTTCTCCACTGCCTCCCTGCACTTTGTGGTCTCGTGTTCTTGTGTAGTTCCGATTTTGAAAGTTTGGCTTCTCCCATCCTTCTCATTCTGCTTCACTCTCCATTTTTAACTCTACTGTGTATTCAGAACTCAAGACCATGTGATCGCTGGTGCCTAGGGGCCTTTCATGTGTGATATCCCTTATGTCTGAACTGTTCAAGGTGAATACGAGGTCCAGTCTTGCTGGTTCATCGTCTCCACTCTCTCTCTCTCTGGTTGTATAACATATTGGTACATGAAGATATCCAGTACTGCCTCCAGCATTCAGTCTCATTATAGCTGAATTACCCATGATAAGTAATTTTGCCTGCTCATGTGGGCCCTTGTGACAACTTCGGCTAGTGTGTCCACCATCACTCAGTTCTTCTCATGTCATCGTATTCCTGTCTTGGCCTCCTTCTGTTCGGTGGTTTGTTGTACATCACTCCTATCATCACTTTTGGGCCTCTGGTAAGATGTGTTCCTAGTCCTCCCATCTCAAAACTCCTGGGGTTTTTGATGAGCAATTCAGCTCCTCCTTCTCCTCCTTTGTTTCCCCTGTCTTTCATCAGGATCTGATATCCTGATGGGAAGATTATGTCTATTATCACTTATCTCTGTGATTGCTATGATGTTCAGGGATGATTCAGTGATTCTTTCATGCTACTCCTCACTCTTATTGATAATTCCATCTGTGTTGGTGTACTACACCTTTAACTTCCTTTCTAGAACTGTGCTCTGGGGGGTGGGATGAGTTGGTGCTGGCTGTGGGTGTGGTAGGCTGTTCTGGATACTATGGTAGTCTGTTGGTATGGCAGTATTAGTGCTGGGGGTGTGTGGTGATGGTGGGTGTGGAGTATGGCTCAGCTCTTGTTATTGTGTTTGCTTGTTTGGGTAGGTAGAAGCTGAGGGGATGTTGTGGGTAGTTGTGTGAGCTATTGTGTTTGCTGTTTCCTTCGAGGCTGTGCTTCCCTGTCTGTTGGTAACTGCCCTGTCCACTCTTCCCCACTCCTTTCTGCCTCCAGCACCTTCTTACTGTTTTTCTCAGCTGTTCCCTTTCTTTTTGAGTTCTGTCATGATCAAGGTACACTCACTGGTAGTTATGGGAACTGTATAACAGTGTTTCCACTGCAGGATTTTGTTTTCTGTCATATCTCACTCGAATGTCAATTTGATTGGGTGGTTATTTTCCCTCGAGTACCACCCAACTCTCTGAAAATTTGTCAGTTGAGTCGTGCCCTCTCCTGTTACCGAAATGATGCTCTCAATCTTTTGAACCTCACCCTGTCTTCCTTCATCATAGGTTTTCCCTTCTGCCTCATGGGGCCCAGGAATGAGTTTTCTTTCCCTTTCCTTATCCCATTTTGTTTCCCTCCATATCTCTGGGTGTAATTTAAGTATCTCTTTGGTTGTCTCCCTAATTATCTCCAAGACATCCCGATGGCCTGGTATAATTTCCTCATGGGACATCTGTATTCTTTCTCCTCCTTCAATCCTACATTGTATGATGTTGTTCCTTCACCCAGGTCCTTGCTGTGTTGCCTGGTGGCTAAAGCTCTCGCTTCACACTGCGAGTGTCCGGGTTCGATTCCCGGCGAGGGTAGAAACATTGTAGGTGTTTCTTTACACTAGTAATCTATGACCTAATTTGCCCGATAAGTTTTGAATAACAAACAACTTTCTATATAGTAGTATGTCATCGATGTAGCTAAGATTGTATACCTTGTACTTGTACTTGTCTCAGCATCCTTGTCTCCACAGCAAGAGCTTGTAACTCTTACATTTTGCTACCTGTAGATATCTTCTCAACCACTGTTACAAAACTCGCTTGTGCTCTTGATCCTTTCTGCCAATGCTTCTTGTTCAGCCCAGCCATCCCTGGTACCTTCGCTTCTTCGTCCTGTCATGCGTGTGTGTGTGTGTGTGTGTGTATAGGGGGGATGCGGTGCTAGCGTGTGAGGGGTGTTAGCATATGTGAGTGTAGGGTGTTAGTGTGTGTGGGAAGTTAGTGTGTGTGTGTGTGTGTGTGTGTGTGTGTGTGTGTGTGTGTGTGTGTGTGTGTGTGTGTGTGTGTGTGTGTGTGTGTGTGTGTGTGTGTATGTGTGTGTGTTGTGTGTGTGTGTATGTGTACTCACCTAATTATCAAGACCCCCCTATTCCCTCCTGTTCTCCAGTGTTGTCAGGTTGAGTTCCATTAACCTCTGCTCGCAGGACAAACCCCTCAGCTCCAGGACTAGTCTTGTTACAAACCTTTCAGCTTTCTCTAATTTCCTGACGTGCTTGACTAGGTGTAGGTTCCATACTGGTGCTGCATACTCTAATATGGGTCTGCCGTGCACGATGTGCGATTCCTTAATAAGGTGTCGAAGAGGTGTTAGTGTGTGTGTGTTTATCTGGAGTTTATCTGGAGAGAGTTCCGGGGGTCAACGCCCCCGCGGCCCGGTCTGTGTGTGAGGTGATAATGCGCGCGCGCGCGCGCGCGTGTGTGTGTGAGGTGATAATGCGCGCGCGCGTGTGTGTGTGTGTGTCTATACTCAAACTGTTGTACTCACATAGTTGTGGTTGCAAGGGTAGAGCCACAGCTCCTGGTCCCGCCTCTTCACTAACCGCTACTCGATCACTCTTCCTGTTCCATGAGCTTTATCATACCTCTTCTTAAAGCTTTGTATGGATCCTGCCTCCAC